GCAAGGTTGGCCCAATGTTGGCGCAAGGTTGGCGCGCCAACAGTATTATGTTAAAGTCATTTAAAAATATGAAAATCGCGTGACACTTGTACAATAACTGGGTGTAATAGTCGGGCTACTTGAGGTATTTGCTGGTATTTCAAGTGTTTTCACTGGTTCACATTAAACTCTCGCGATTTAATAAATCGCCATCGCGTAAAATGATTTTTTCTATAAAAATAAATGAATAGGGAGTGAAATTAAAACTAGAGCTGTCTTCTTCCGGGTTGTGTAATTGCAATTTTTATCAATTATTGTACCTGTTTTTGCTAATAAATTAGCAATATGCTTCCGAATGGATATAAGACTCCCATAAAATCCATAAGACCCCATACGACCCCCATAAGACTCTCATGAGGCCCTCATATGATAAAACCGTATTAGTGCAAGGTTGGCGCAAGGTTGGCCCAATGTTGGCGCAAGGTTGGCGCACCAACCGTATTATGTTAAAGTCATTTAAAAATATGAAAATCGCGTGACACTTGTACAATAACTGGGTGTAATAGTCGGGCTACTTGAGGTATTTGCTGGTATTTCAAGTGTTTTCACTGGTTCACATTAAACTCTCGCGATTTAATAAATCGCCATCGCGTAAAATGATTTTTTCTATAAAAATAAATGAATAGGGAGAGAAATTAAACCTAGAGCCGGCTTCTTCCTGGTTGTGTATTGCTCTCTTCCTCCGAGAGATATATTACATATTGAAGCAGCGGTTTGGAACGGATTTCGAGCGTCGATAAGGCTACTTTAGTCATTGTCTGTGTGATCTTAAAACATGTTTACCCCAACTCACGAATATTCGTAATTGCCTTGGCCAAAAAAGCCTCCCATATGTTAACAAAACAGCATGCGCTTGCCCAACTCTGAGTGCTCAACACTGGCACAATGACTCTAATCTCTCAATCGTTTCCGTAATAATCAGATTCCACTCCAATTAGAATATTCAAATTTCCTGGGGGGAGGGGGGCATGTGCTTCTTCACTCATAAAAATAACGAAACTTGTCACACGCGAGCACCAACTAGTACATCCAGTGTTGGTTAAACATTAGTTTGTTATCGTGATCTCCTAATGACTCATTAATGTTAGCGGTCGTAATGTTGATCTCGTAATTTAATGGCCAGATATATTTTCAACTGGATCTAGCCGATGTGATTAGCGGGGACAGAGAGGAGTCGTAAAAATTCAGAGTCGTAGACAACACGCGTTGCGAGTGTGCTCATGCTCATGGGAGAGTAAAAACGGAAGTTGGAGCAATTAACGATATAAGTGGTCCGTTGGTCTTGAGGTGCAGATAACATCAACAGGGGGGAGGGGGGAGGGGGGGGGGGGGGAACTCCAGTGTGCCAGGGTAAAGACTCTGTAGTTCAGAGTCGTGATGAAGGAAGATAGCGATGAAGGCAGGTGGTTTTTCAGCATGGACACATTATACGGTCTTGCTCGTCTTGCTGCCTTTAGTGTTTTTCATCGCCAAGTGAGAGATTGTGACTGTTTTATTCCGCTTTTTATGGCATTTACCTTTGGGCGTAGAAGGGAACATTGTATGGGGGGATTGGAGTGCGTGAGGAAGGGGGATTTTTCACAGTGGATGCGTATATGCCCAACAGCTCGAGAGTTTTGAGGATGCCAGAAGCCCAGCAAGAGCTTGATTCAGTCTCAGCCAGGTTAACCACATCCTTTTATTGCCCTGGACGCGTCTTCGGTTTCCAAAGGGGGAGCGGATCTTTCCCGTCGCCAATCGTTGGGATTTTTACGCCGGGGGATTTTCTTTCCTACTATCTTTGGGGACCATTGCGACTCATTTGGCGCCGCTATTTGGCAGATATTTTCCATATCATTTTTCCTCGGGGATACGGGAAATGTAAAGACACATCCCCTCAACTGGTTTTTGCTTCGTACAGGTACTTGACATACCAATTCATGCACTCACACCCCACATTTGAATTCAATGATTATATTTACAGCATCAAAACAACAGAACTCAATTTTAATGGAAATTTTTTTTTAGAGATTTTTTTGATTGATTTTTTTTTCTGAAAAAATTGCAACAATACCAATTTCACATTTTTCTCGAATTATTTGGGAAACCGAAGAATTTTCATGAATTTTATAGAATTTAGAATTTATGTACGAAAATCTCAGAACCAAAAATTGATCATTTTTGCGTATGATAAGTATAAAAAAATTAAAATTTGGGAAGTGAAGAATAATTTGTGAGTTAAAAAAATTTAGAAATACTATTTTTTTTCTCATCATCAACAATTGGGCAATTTAGATATGTTTTGATATAAAGTTAAACTTCACACATGAAAAAAATGATAAATACGACGCAGAAAAAATTGTTGGCATTTGAAGAATTTGAAAATGCCGGGGATTTTTTTCAGCGACTCCTTCACGTGACTCACTGACCAATCAGAATTGAGGATTAGCGGTCAGGCAGTATCGAGATATTTCGATATAAAGCAACTTGACGTTTCTTTCATCCTCAGTAAACAGGATAACACTGGCTCCTCGAGGGTTGGCTTGTGACCGAGAGTTTGTAACGGTGCGATGACTACAAAACTCCCAAACAGTCTCGGTTCGACGACTCTATATCCACCTAGAAAATCGTTAGCGCAATAAGGGCCGTCGACGAAAACTGACCACTAATGGGAGTTGAAATTAATTTCACGTAATTGGAAAGACCGAGAGGAAACTACTTGGTTTACCCTAATAGCTCAGCGAAATAACCCCTTTTTCCCCCACGGGTGCTGGATAATTGACACCCTCCGAAATACCGGAAGCCAGTGTACATTCATCATGTTCGCTGTATAAACTCCCGAGCGCTGCTTGTTGGTAATTTCAATTTCATAATTTATCTACATCAGGCAAAAAACCGTGAACATTTAAATAAAAGAAGACAATTTGTTTTTTCTTGAAAAAATCAATCACTGGATAAATTTAGTATAATATATTTTCAATATAATAATTTTTGCTATACAGACATTATAATACAAAGCATATAGGTTCGCTATATTCCTCCTTTTGCTGAATTACCACTAATTTCACGGCGACGACGTAATGTTTTCATTGTCCATCTCCTTTTCACGATTTTTCATCCATTAATCTAACTGTTTTCCTCGAACACATTCGATGCGTCGACGATTGCCTGTTAATTCTCACTTCTCATCATTACACAATAATAATTCATAGTTCGCATAAACGCAATTTCTCCACCATAAATTCACATGTGTCATAGTAAAATCTAGTTTTTATACATTCATAATACTGGTAAATTTCTCATTTTAAAAAGAAAATCATCGCAAATGACCATTTAGTATTCGAATTAATAACTATTTTAATTCAATTGAAATAGTTGGACTGGAGAATAACGCCAATGGGACTATCATCTGTTGAATGTGAAAAATAACTCTTTGCAATAGGTATTTTTCAATTTCAATTCCATTTGACTTTGGCTCAGCCATCTAACCAAAGTACTCTCTCATTATTTTCCACTGGCATTCACGTACCTCACACATTTTACGTATTACGCTTCCGTTTCTCACTCACAGTGCTCACTTTATGTACATGTACCTACTTATATATCTAAAACTGAATGATAGCGAAGCCTATAATCGTACAGTTGTATCATGTACTTATGTACAACGTATTTCTCTTTACTCCATTTAGTGCATTTTCATGACTCACGTATTCCCCTCCTACCATTCCCTCTATCAAATGCTGGAAAAGTGGAAGTCTTTTGATTGGTATGAGTTTCTTTATTCGCGCGACTAGTCTGGGCATCAGTTGCCTCATAATTTCGTGTCATTTAATGCTTGGTATCATTTTGAACCGACGGCAATCTACGACTAATGCTATATTAATTGGCTCAGAATTCCCCTGACAGTCTTGTCTCTGATTCTTCCACTCCAACGAGAAATAAAAAAAATCCTCATCGTGCACTACAACGCCAAGTAGGGGAGACCGGGGCAAAACGGGGTAGCTAAGAAAAGGGGCGGGTGTCAGAGCTTCTGTCATACTTGTATTGCTTTTTAGCAATCACTAGTCACATTCTGAAATTTTCAAGTCGCGGCTCCAATGGATTACAGTTGGGGCGCAGTGGGGTAGGGTCCAAAAACTTTAAAATAATTATAAATGTTGTTTCTTTGTTTTTCACCTTCGAATCTCCATAAAACGAGAGAAAAACTCGGAAATCGGTGGGGAAGGTCCCGATGAATCGATTTTTTAATTTGGCGCACGATGGGGTACGCATGAGAGAATTCTTTTTCTTCATTTTAAAAAAATTTCGTCATTCGTCAAATTCATTATTCATTTTTTTCTAAAATGCCATTTTTTTCTATAAATTGAAATTTCCGAATTTATTCATTAGATTTGTCTTGTTCATCTCTATTTGACGAAGTGAAATCCCAATACTTCTAATTGATTGTTTTTATTCTCTTGCTTCAGTAGAAAAGTAACGTTTATATCAGTAAACAGAGAGTATGCGCAGCAAGTGGGATTCCATTCTTCTAATTTTTTTTTTTCCGTCGTTACCGACCGTCGGGGGATGGGTTTACCAAATTTATCTGACTATCTAGGTCTAGATCATTGTGAGAACTCAGTTTTAATTGCAATATCCAATATGGCGGCTCATCCCGGTGTTTGAAAGAATTGAAAGAATTTCCAGAGTTCTTCAATTTTTAAAAATTTTTCCTCAGTATTCGAGTTTTTTTAGCTCTTTTGACCCCTTATTGATCCCTGATCGAGCGTTTGGCCTTCTTCATGTACCCCACCATGCCCCGGCCTCCCCTGCTGCAAAAAAACCCGGGGCCGAGAGAAAAATATGTAAAAAAAAGGAGAAACCAAAAATGCGAGTTTGTTTTTCCACCAGAACAATTGACACGAGCCGCCAGAGCATTAACAAAAGCGCGTCGGTTAACCGCACGTCACATCCTGCACATGGACACTCAACCCCAGCGTCACATATATTGCCGTCAATCTCGAATGTCAAAACGGATCTCCCCGGGTGAATCCACGATGAAACCGTCCGGGAACGGTCAGGTATCGCCTTTCCTGTTTCCCCTGCAAGTCTCCCTATTTGTCATTCAGACAACATCAGACCCATCACCGGGATCATCCCAGGTTTTTCGCACAGATTGTGTGGCATCAAGTGAATCCTAGATGTCATGTATACTCTCATCATCACTGTCAACTCTCGTGCTCTGTGGGCTGCCGTCTCTGGGCGGTGGCGTCCTCTCGAGGCTCTTGCTCCTCGCTCTCGCCATGCGGCTCCTCTCCAAGTGCTCTCGTTCCCTCGCGTCCTGCATCATTTCGGGACTCTCGCGGTTGTAGTAACTACTGAGGTTGGACAGACTGGAACTGGCAGCCAGGCTGCCGAGGGGTGCACTCGGCCCGGCCAACATCATCGGCGGATAAAAACGGTGGGCCATGGGCTTTTGCAGCGTCACAGCAGCAGTTGCCTGCCTGTAAAATAGTTCACTCGGTGGTGGCGCTGGTGCACCTGGATAAGTCCAGTACGACGGCTGTGCTGGCACACCAGTACGATTACCATACATACTCTGAAAGGCCACGTAATTGCCGGCTTCAGCGAGAATCTCAAAGCTCACTATCGTCTGGCGTTTCCATTTTGTTCTGCAATTTGAAAGCAAAGAGAAATACTCATAAATTCATTGCGCCACGCTAATGTCAACTGTAAGGATGATTTTACGTATGAAATTGCCGGAATCGCGATTTTCGATATCGAGACATCATGGGCTCTTGGATGATTGCCGGAAACCGCTACCGAGTGTATACGTTGGGGTGAATGAATGATAGGGCATTTTTAAGGGGTGGGCGGTCGAAGGAAACTCTTGGGAAGTAAAATCCTTATGAATCGCGTCGTGAAATCACGCACGTACGTTTAAATATAGGAGCACTTGGTAACAAACTTTGACCCTGATACCGTTTTACCAAGCGTAAATGGCTGGTTGATATTGTCTGGTTCCTACGGAGGACTTTGGCGGGGGCTGAGAATGATCAGAATGGCTCGGGAGTGGAGTTGAGGGGGGTGTGGGCGCGTATGTAAATTCACCATCTGAGAAAATTACTCTAAAACGGGGTGGCGTGTCGGCAAGTGGTTTCGTTGGCCACACTGCTGGACTTATTATACTAACAAATAGCTCGTGGAGTTCACTGGCTAATCATCGCGTATCGTGCCACGCACACCACTATACTCGCGCTATTCCGGTGGTGGAAAAGAAGTGAAGCTTTTGGACTCTATTGATAGCCCCAGGGGAGTAATCAACATTTTTTATTACGAGTGGAAGCGTTGTAATCGTTCAAATTTAAGTTTTACATTTTTCAAGTTATATCGACTCATTATGATGTTAAAAGTCCGAAAATGCATTTTTTTTTCTTCATTTTCTCGCTGATGAATAGAGGGGATTGAATCATTTGTTTAAAATGAAGGTATTGCCAAGCCCTATCCGTCGCCATTAATTAAAATTGAAGTCGTTCATTCATTTTTTTAATTTTCGAATTTTTTCAAAATTCAGTTGTAACACGATAACTAAAAAAATGGTCTACATTCATTGAATGACGGCTCAAAAAATTCGTTGGAATGTCCTTTTGGCCGAGTTCGAAGATGAAAGTGAAGTTCTGTGAAATTTTTCCAAAATTTCGTATTTTTTGAAAATCAGAATTCCGCAGATATCTCTGGATATTGCGCTGCAAATGAATTCAATCATAGCTTAATGTTTGTTTCTGTGCGACTATATCGAAGTTAAAAGTTGGTTACAAAAACTGTCTCGGTTAATTTGATTTTTAGGATAATTTTTAGAAATTTCGAATTTTTCATTAATTCCCCAGAAAGTTCGCTTTCTGATAATTCCATTAAATGTGATGTTTCGAATGCATTCAATTACGTATAAATGAAACATTCCTAATAATATTTCACAGAAATTTTCAGAAATTTTTAGAATTTCATTAAGTGGAAAATCTAAAACAATTAGTTGGAAAGAAATTGCTTGAATTCAAGAAACTAAAATGGGCCATGAATAACATACAATGGAAAAAAATAATCAAAATGACCAAAAAATAACTAAACCACACGCAATACAGGAGCAACTTCCCACTTGTTCCTTCTCACCAGGAAAAATTTGAAGATCGCAATATCAAAAATGCTCCACTTGAAAAATTGATACTTGTATTATTTATTCAACTACCCCAGTGTATCGAGGGGCTTCAACCCTTGAGTAGGGGAGGGGAATTGCAAAAGACGCTCATGAATTTCAAAGCGCCCAGATCATTTGTCATACGACGGTGAGAGATCAGGAAAGGAGAACGGTCACCGCCACCACTCGATGCTCGCTCGATTATATGATGAGTAATGTTTTTTAATACCTCTTTCAATTCAACAATGATACATGCACGAATACTCTTTTTAAGTGCAACCACACTCTAAAACACCCTTAATTGGCCTCGTGCACCCCTGGGCTCTCGATGTTCACTCGAGCGAAATTGATTTATCACCGAGAATCTTCAATGCGCAATGGCCAAATGAATTTTATTACACTTACATATCCGAAGCTGAAAAAAAGCGTGCGAACGACTTTAAATCTAGCGTGACGGTTATGAAACGTAATTAATTAATTTTTTATCCGGCCTCCATAGGAATTTCAAGAGCAACGCTTTTTGTTATCCCCCTCATCGCTAACAAATGGCTTTATAAATTGACTACCAGGGAAAGAAAACTGGGCGATACCCGTGGATTAATATTAGTCGGCTGGAAAATAATGTAATGATAATAATGCGAGCAACATTGCCAGCATACAGAGAGCTTAATGCATTTATAATGGTGGAGTTCTGGTTTCTGGGCGCTCCGACACTCTGCGGTCACGGGGTATGTTATTCAAAACGATAGCCCTACGACAGACTAATGCTCTCCAAGTGCCACATCAGGATAATAACAGTAAAACGATGGTAAGGGCGACATATTTTTCAAAATTGTTATTTGCCCCGGTTGACTGTTGTGGCGATGGGGGGGGAGGGGTTGGGAACATGTGTGTGTATTTCGAGCACCTCTGATGAGGGTGACAACAAGCCGATATTAACACAAAAGAGTGGAATAACGTATTCACGAGTGTCTGTCCATTGTGGTAAATAAATAAATGATGTAACATGGCTTATCCATTCATCGTCGCGTCAGTCGTGTCCAACGCATGGTGTGGTGATGATTATTACCAGAAATAATGCATGAGAAATAACTGGGAGGAAGCCAAATTATTTATCTCACCATAAGTTTTTCCGTTTTTTTTTTTTCAATCGAATTTTTTTCGTGACTGAGTGAAAACACTAGAGCGAACTTAGCTATCGCGTGGCCGCCGTTATAACGCTCCAGCCTTTATTTTGTCGTAGCGTGGGAAGCTCTGGGTGCTGGTGATGGCCAACGTCTTCTTCCTGGATGCGCCAAACGGCGCACTATTCTCACGGTTGCCGTGTTATAGTACAGCACAAAGTGCAATAAAGTGTTCGGACAGTGACAGACGCTATTGCACTTTGTCGTACAGGTGAGGCCAGGAGGGCAGTCATATCAACGCTGATAGGAAGGATTTGGTATTGTTAAGGAATGGATTTGGTTGGAGACGAGGGTCTATTCGGTCTCACCTAGTGGTGCCGCGGGAGACTTTACGAGACATGACGAGGGAATGCTTTGGAGGGATTGTCTCGGTCTCAGTGAACGCGGAGATTTTTGGTCTCGTCTCAGTCTCAAAATACGCGGTATTTTTATATGTTGAAAATTGAGACGAGACAGAGCGAGACAAAAACCAAGATTTTACATTAAAAATGCGAAAAACAGACGAAGGTGAGATAAATTGACTCGGAGTCGTCACGAGAGAAGTCGCATTTGCGTATTTGGAGACTGAAGCGAGACCGAAGATTTCCATGTTCATTGAGACCGAGATCTCTCCAAAGTATTGTCTCGTAAAGTCTCTCGTGGCATCACTAGTCTCACAAATTGTTCATTCGTTAATAGTTAACGAATCTCGCTTGGAATAAATGAATCAGTTAGTGATGCCGCGAGACGAGACGAAACGAGAAGATGGAGTTTCTCGTCTCGTAATGTCTCTTGTCTCGTTTGTCTCGTCTCATCTCGTTTCTGTCATTGTCTCGAATGACTCTTCTCGTCTCGTCTCGTCTCGTTTCTGTCATTGTCTCGAATGACTCGTCTCGTCTCGTAATGTCTCTCGTCTCGTTTGTCTCGTCTCGTCTCGTTTCTCTCGCGTCTCGCGGCACCACTAGAATCCATCCATCACTGCAGTTGATCATTTTTATAATCAAGTCTTACAAACTTAATGTAAAACCAGCAAGACCATTAAATCAGTGGAAATAATTTGAGGAAGTGGAAGTCAAGAGAATGTACATATGGAACAAGTGGACAAGTAACTTGCCATAATTTTCTTGATGACTAATTTTCTTTGGCGTCCAGCGAAGCATTGGCAGATCCATCGTGCGTGTAAGAGGATACCTGCCCTCGGGAGGCAACTCCATAATTCTAGAGTATTATGCGGTAGCTACTTTTCAACGGCGACTAACGCACTCATTTCCCATTATTATTTTTTTCTCCATTTCAATTTCTCGTTTTGCAACTTGCCGTGGCTAGTCGCATATTAAAAACTTTTCGGCGGTTAAAAATTACAATGAAACACTGATGTTTCTGTACATACACCCACAAATGCGTTGATATTATGTGCGTGACGCCATGGCGCTTTTACCCTTTACCCTCTCTCTTGCCTTCGCTTTTGCTCGTGATTAGCCGATAAGTTGAAACGATTTCTCGAGTGGGGGGGGGGGGG